TTTATCCCAGGACTCTTCCAAAACTTCTGGCTGTGGTCCTGCACAAGGCAGCATGGGTCACGTGTTCCCCAGCAACAATAACACTGGGCTGCCCGTAGACGTGCCTGTCTGAAAATCGGCGTAGTGCACTCGGATTTCGGCCGATGCCGATACATTAAAAAATGCTAAATATCGGCCCGATATATCGGCCGGCCGATATATCGGTCGACCTCTAGTTGATCGTCACCGTCTGGTGGTGGTGGTAACGCCGCCCTTTTCGCTCTGAGACTGCCTACCGCCAGAATGCTGTGGAACATTGCTGAGGCCCAGGGCCTGACGGAGGCATTCTCAGCCCACATGCAGCTCGGCGAGCTCAGGTTCCGCGACATAAAAGCGGTCGGCAGTCTCCACGCTGTGACACATCATGTGCGACACCAGCCGCCGCTGGTCCTCCGGCAGGCCCCTCTCTATCTGTAAACAAGAATGAGAGATCAATCACGGTCGAGACAATTTCTAAATCCGCAGACTTTAGGAATGTATCTGATTTTTATTTACACACGTCAACACGCCGCTCCTCAACTGTGACATGGTGAATGCCTTGGGCATGCCACAATTCAAGCATGTGTCCATCACCGTGTCATTCAGTTTCCGAAACGGCTTTCCTGAAGACGTGAAAAAGAATGTCTTAACCAAGGATCTGAAGCCAGGGAGCTCACAGCGGAGCTGAGCAAACTGGTGGAGCCACTGGTATTCTTTTTTGGAGAGGGCCATGTTTACCCTCCCAAAAGAGCCTGCTGTTTTATGGTCCTTTACCTGTGAAGGCAAGACGATGAGTTATTTAATGTGATCGGGTCTACACCTGTGTGCGCGTGTGCAACACAACACATTTTGTGTGAACGTTGACATGATGTTTAACTGTCTGAAGCAAAATCCAAGACATCCACTTTTAAAATGCCGTAATGACTAAAGAATTACTAAATGAAGTCCAAGCACACTCACGTGAATGACCACCTTGTCCCCTGATACCTGCACCTTGGTGACCTCTTGCGGCAACATGTTTATTACCACGCTATACCTGTGGCCCGTGTTTACAAATACATAGGTGGCAATTGCACCTATGCACTTGTTGTGGAGTAGGATGTTCTGTGGAGACTCAGACAGATCATCTGTGAGATAAAAAAAAAATCCATGAGCGTGACGTCAACGAGAGACTCCCGTCTGTAAGACAAATGGGGTTTTCGCTTACCGAGACATTCAGGGATCCGGGATTGCAGCTCGGTCGCCAGCTCCGAGAGGTTTTCCTGGGTCGGCATCCTCAGATTTCTGCTCCTTCACCTCTTGCCTGTGCTCGACTATTCGCTTCCCCAATGCTTTGAGCTGTCTCCTCAAATGTCGCAAAAGGTAGGCGATTTCCTTTTTGCGGAGCTAGACACAAATGAGGTCCGACTAACAAGAACTGGCACAATTTAATGATGGCCAAGATATAGGTCTTATTCGTCGTAACCTTGAATTTCTTATCAAGGTCAGACAGCCAGTCATTAATTCTGCCAGTGTCCTTCAGAAATCTAAGGTGGGCAGGAGCTGGGGCCTCTTTATTGCCCCACACAAAACTTTTATGCACTTCAGCTTATGCATCTGGTTTTGTGACAAAGTCCCAGAGGTGCTGACCAGGAAGACGCTCTCCTGAAATCTGGGGAGCACCAAGTCTAAAAGGAAAAAAGAAAATTAAAAGTTAAGCCATGTAATCCCGCCTGGCAATTATGTTCACCTACATAAAGGACATGACGTTAAAAATTCAAACAAAACCCAAAAAGTCCACGTTTAAAGGCTGTAATGACTAGAAATCCAGGAGTAGATGTTTAAGGTCCATAATGTTTAAGTCTTATACATTTTATCATAACATTGCAATTGTAATTATTACCAGAGAAGAACTGCTTGTGCAATCCGGATCCCGATCCCTGTGGCACAGAGGAACTTTGTCTGTGCTCTGCCACCTCCTGCTCCAGCCGTCTGAGCCGCTGTTTAAGCTGCACCATTTCATCGGTTTTCTCCCTGCCAGTGCTTTTAAATTCATGCAACGACTGCCATGCCGCCTGCTTCTTGCAGACTGCGATCTGGGTTTTGGGTAGGAGATAAGGTTTATCGCCGGGCAGAGGGGCACAGGGCAATCTATCAACCTAGCAAATCTGCCCAACGACACGGAGTTTAGCAGCCTCCTCTCTGTGTTGCTGTCCACCTTGTGCACCGGGGGCAGGCGTGGGACTTGCGGGGCATAATAGTAAGTTATTTACTATCTAGAAAGAGGCACATTTGTTTACGTATGGTTCAGAGTTTATTTCATTGCTTTATCCATCGAGTGCTACAGTATGTAATTATTCAACTATTTAATTTCAATTACAGATTAAATGAGATCATACACCTATTGGTGGAAGAACTGGCACACCTAGTGGTAATACACGTGTAGCACACAGACAAACACAAATGATTTGGGGTTCTTTATTTGCTGGCCACCCAAAGAAAATGGAAGGAATGCTGAGCGGAGTTTTCCTGTTCCTTCCTTCACAAATTTTACTGTGCGGTACAGTAATACGCGATATCACTACACGGGCACAGATCAACTTTCCCCAGCAACAAATACTACAACAACAACAACAACAAGTTTATTTTTGTATAGCGCATTATCACAACATTACATTGTCCCAAAGCGCTTTACAGCATCCCCACCCAAAGCCCCCAGTGAGTAAGCCATAGGGGATAGTGGCAAGGAAAAACTCCCTAGAAGGAAGAAACCTTGGGAGGGACCAGACTCAAAGGGGGAGCCCATCCTCCAGGGGCCGGCAGGGAGAGTCAATACTAGTAATAAAATAAATCAAACTGTATTTTTTTTAACAGTGTGTAGAATACGGCAGTGGACTAGAACTGCACAAGAAAATACAAAAGTACATATAACCGTTCATCTTGAATACTAAGATATACACATTTAATGAACAATAGCGCCCTTTTAACTTACATCTCAGTATCTCGCGTCTCTCCCTATATGGTTTGCTCCCCTACAAACGGCTTACATGAAAGCACCAGGCTATTCATACACCCGTTCATGGATTACAAACATGCAATGAAAAAAAATGCATTAATGTGAATTAATTAAAAAAAAAACACATTTACACTGCATTCCGCTTTACTGACACACAGATGCTAAACGGACGTACAATCCTTGTTTTACACTTAAATCGAAAATCATCCAAACAGTATTACCTACCAGACTGTCACTAATCCCCTCCAAGACACATACTATATTATTTTTACCATTACATCTCAATATCAAGAGGGAAACTTGCATTTACTCTGCGAGGATCACCCCGGCCTCTTTCCCGTGTGCTTTGCGGCCATATGTTTTCTCCAAAAGGCGCGGGGGCAGAGGAATATCAAAAAAAAAACGGGCGGTTCCCAACGTGGACAAGGCTAGCACCTTAAAGGGAGAGTGTACCTTTCCAAAGCGAAAACAAAGTCCTTTTTCCCCACTTCAAACCAGGGGGGTATTCCAGAAAGCTTGGTTAACTTACCATTTGGTAAATC